TACCTACCTAAACTAACATGAACAGAGGTAGAACAACCAAATAAACCTCTAACAAAAGAAGAGATTGAAAAGGTAATTAAAACACTCCCAACAAAAAAAAAAAAGCCCTGGCCCTGATGGCTTCAGAGAACCAAACTTTCAGAGAAAGTTAACACCAATACTACTAAAGGTATTTCAGAGCACAGAAAAGAACGGAATACTCCCAAACTCATTCTATGAAGCCAGCATAACCCTGATACCAAAACCAGGTAAAGACACCACAAAAAAAGAAAATTACAGACCAATATCCCTCATGAACATAGATGCAAAAATCCTCAACAAAATTCTAGCCAATAAAATTCAACAACGTATCAAAAAAATAATTCACCACAGCCAAATTTATACCAGGTATGCAGGGATAGTTCAACATTACAAAAACAATGTAATCCATCACATAAACAAAAGAGCCACATGATCTTATCAATTGATGCAGAAATGGCATTTGACAAAGTCCAACACCCATTCATGAGAAAAAGTCTCAGCAAAATAGCAATGGAAGGGAAATTCCTCAACATAATAAAGAGCATTTATACAAAGCCAACATCCAACATCATCCTAAATGGAGAGAGTCTGAAAGCATTCCCCTTGAGAACGGGAACCAGACAAGGATGCTCTTTATCACCACTCTTATTCAACACTGTGCTGGAGGTCCTAGCCACAGCAATTAGGCTAGAAAAAGAAATAAAGGGCATCCAAATTGGTAAGGAAAAAGTAAAAGTATCCCTATTCGCAAATGATATGATCTTATACATAGAAAACCCCAAAGAATCCACAAGAAAACTACTGGAACTAATAGAAGATTTCAGCAAAGTATCGGTATACAAGATAAACATACAAAAATCATTTGGATTCCTCTATACCAACAAAGAGAACTTTCGAAAATGAAATCACCAAATTAATACTATTTACAATAGTTCCCAAGAAGATAAAGTACTTAGGAATAAATCTAGCCAGGGATGTAAAAGACCTATACAAAGAAAACTACAAAACACTACTGCAAGAAACCTAAAGACCTGCCTACGTGGAAACTATACCATGCTCATGGATAGGAAGACTCAACACTGAAAACGTCAATTCTACCCAAGGCGATCTACAGAGACAGTGCAATACTGATCCAAATTCCACCTGCATTTTTTAACAAGATGGAGAACAAATCACCCACTTTATATGGAAAGGGAAGAGGCCCCGATAAGTAAAGCACTGCTGAAGAAGAACAAAGTGCGAAGTCTCACACTACCCGATTTTAGAAGCTATTATACCACTACAGCAGTCAAAACAGCCTGGCGCTGGTACAACAACAGACACACAGATCAATGGAACAGAACTGAGAACGCAGACACAAACCCACCCATGCTGTTGTTGTTCGGTGCTATCGAGTCACTTCTGACTCACAGCGACCCCGTGTCCAACAGAACAAAACACTGCCCAGCGTTGCGCCATCCTCAATTCACCTATGAGCAGCTGGTATTTGACAAAGGCCCCAAGTCTGTTAAATGGGGAAAAGACAGTCTCTTTAACAAATGGCGCTGGCATAACTGCATATCCATCTGCTTAAAAAAAAAAAGGATCCATACCTCACACCATACACAAAAACTAACTAAAAATGGATCAAAGACTTAAATATAAAATCTAAAATGATAAAGATCATGGAAGAAAAAATAGGGATAATTCTAGGGCCCCTAAAACATGGCATAAATAGTATACAAACGAAAGAGCACACAAACCATGAGTAACAATGCACAAGCACCAGAAGAGAAACTAGCTAACCGGGAGCTCCTAAAAATCAAACACTTACGCTCATCAAAAGAGTCAAGACAACCTAGAGACTGGGAAACTGTTTTGGCTGCAACATATCTGGTAAGGATCTAATCTCTAAAATCTACAAAATACTATAACACCTCAACAACAAAAAGACAAATAATCCAATTAAAAAATGGGCAAAGGATATGAATAGACACTTCACCAAAGAAGACATTCAGGCGGCTAACAGACACGTGAGGAAATGATCATGATCATTAGCCATTAGAGAAATGCAAATCAAAACCACAATGAAAAAAAAAATTCTGTACGGGAGACTAACTTGAAATGTAAACTTCATTTAATTACAATTAAAAAAAAAATTACGCATAGAAATACCCTATGACCCAGCAATTCCACTTGTAGGTACGTACCCTAGGGACTTGAAAGCAGTGACGCAGAGACATGCACACCAATGTCCACTGCAACACTGTTCACAACAGCCAAAAGGTGTAAACTTAAACATCCATCAACAGTGGATGGATACACACAATGAAATACTACTCCGCCATAACGGAGACTGAAGTCTTGATGCACACTGCAACACGGATGAACCCTGAAAACATTACGCTCAGCGAAAAAAGTCAGTCACAAAAGGACAAATATTGTATGAGACCACTAATGTAAGAACTTAAGGTTAAAACACAGGAAAAAGCATTCTTTGGTGGTTACGAGGGTGGGGAGGGAGGCGGAGGGGACATCACTAGCTGGACAGTAGACAAGGATCAACTTCGGCGAAGAGAAGGCCAACACACAATACAGGCAAAGTCAGCACAACTGGATCGAAGCAAAAGCAAAGCAGTTCCCTAGACACATCTAGACACTTTGAGGGACACAGCAGCTGGGCTGGAGCCGGGAGACCAGTTTCAGGGGACATCTAGGTCAACTGGCATAACACAGTTTATAAAGATGTTCTACATCCCACTTTGATGAGAAACGTCTGGGGTCTTAAAATCTTAGGAGCGGCCATCTAAGAAATGTCTATTGGTCCCATCCCACTCGGAGCATAGAATGAAGAAAACCAAAGACACAACAAAAATACTAGCCCAAAGGACTAAAAGAAGAAATGAACCAAAGACTCCACCAGCCTGAGACCAGAAGAACTAGATGATACCCAGCTACCACCAATGACCACCCTGACAGGGAAGACAAGAGAGTCCCGGACAGAGAAGGAAAAAAATGTAACAGAACTCAAATTCACAGACTGGAGAAGGCCCCGAAATTATGGCCCTTGGACTCTGTTAATCCAGAACTGAAACCCTTCCCAAAGCCCGCTCTTCAGACACAGATCTATGCAACAAAAAATAATACACATGAACGACATGCTTCTTAGTTCAATCAGACAGGAGACCAAACGGGCACTTCCTGTCCAAAAGCAGGAGGCAGGAAGTGACAAGCACTGGATGAACGGACACAGGGAACCTGGGGGGAAAGGGTGAGTATGCTCTCACATTGTGGGGACTGCAACCAATGTCACACAACAGTATGTGTACAAATTTTTGAATGAGAAATTTAACTTGAGCCAAAAACTTTCACCTAAAGAACAATAAAAATTTGAAAAAAAAGTGGCCAAAGGAAAAAATAAGACAAAGACAAGGATGACATGTCAGAAGCAACATAAGCTACGAGACAGCAGGACATCTTTAGAGTATCATTAAGAAAACGTCATCTAAAGGCCAAGAGCATTCTAAAGCCCCTCCCTCCACACTCTGTCCCCAAACTCCCTGGCTCCCACCACCTCAGGAAGTCAGCACCACCAACTCCCCTGGGGCTAAACCCCCAAAGCTGCAAGACCCTTGACCCTACACACCTGGTACAGTCCCTGGTCCAGCCCCTCCCTGTGCCACTCCCTGACCGGGCCGCAGTCATCTCTCACTGGGGCCCGCCCCAGCCTCCACCCCTTGCCTCTGCTGTCCCTCCTGACCCCTAGTTACTGAGCTGCCACCGACCCAACCAGCCTGACCGCCCTCCTCCCTCTCTGTCCTTGACCACTCCAGCTGCCTGGCCTGACGTCTCTGACACCCTGGGCCCTCCCCTCCTGTGTTCACTTCTGCCTGGACTCACAATCCCCCCCCCAACCCACGCAGGCTCACGTCCCTTCATGTCTCTGTGTCCTGAGCACCAGTCACCTACCCAGAGCGCCCCTGCCTGCAACCCTGGGGCTCTGGGAGGGGCGCTGTCCTGGGCACAGCACTGGGGCCCCAGTGAACAGTAAGCCTGTGGTCCAGCACCCACCGAAGCCCCAACTCGCCCTGCCCCAGCCCGTCCGCAGATGGCACCGCTGGGCTTCAAATCAAGTTTAATAAATAAAACAGCAGGGGTTCAAGGCAGTTGTCATCACTTCACAGTGTGGTCCTTGGTGGGGGGGTCGAGTCCGACTCTGGAGGGAGGGGCTCGAGCAGAAACCCCTGACGACCCTTGAGGCTGGGCGCCCGCCCCCGAACACCCCACTCCAACATGTGAACAGAAACATAAATAAAATCGGGCAATGGAAGGGGGGAACAAAGACCCCAGCCATCTGGGGGGAGACGTCCAACAGAGACAAGACACCGGGGGCGGGGGGGGGGGGGCCGGCCCCTCCTGGTGGTGCCGGGGATGGGGGAGGAAAGGGGTCTAAGTGTCCGTCTCCTGACACCCACGTGAGTTTGCTGAGGGCCCTGGCCGACCGAGAGGCGCAGGGGGCTGAGAAGAGGCAGTGGGGACGTAAAGTGCAGCGTTTCCTGAAGTGGAGAGCAGGGGGGTGCGGGGTGGGACAGCGAGGTATATGGCTCCATGCCCCACGGTTTGGCACTGAGTAGCAGCTGCCCACCCGGCCCCGTGGCGGTGTGGGAGACAGAGTCGGCCAAGGGCGCCCGCGGGGTTGCTGGTGGCGGTGGCTGTCTGCCGGGGCAGGACCGTCCCTCTGCTGGCGAAGGCCTCGGCGGAGAGTGAGGAGTGTGCCAGGTGTGGGGGCACCACCAGGCAGCCAGGATCCAGGCTATGTGTGCCACAGCCTTGTCCCCTCGAGTCATCCCCAATGCGCCCTGAAGCAAAGGAGGCATCACCAGTGGCCTGCGGGAAGGGGTCGGGAAGACGGACAGAGGCGTGCCAGGGTGGCGGCCCAAGTCCAGTCCAGGGAAGGTTGGTGGTGGCTGCAGGGACCGTGAACCGCCTGGCGTCGGGAATCAACAGGTCATCACGTTACAGCTGCAGAGGCAAGATCGAAGGAGAGTGAGGGCACCCGCCTGGAGACACAGCTGCTCCAGGGTGCTGGGCGGGGGGAGCCCGGGGCCGGCCCTGATCATACCTTTTCGGGTTTTGAACGAAACAGGCACATTAGTTAAAAAGCTAAACCCAAGGAATGGAAAGTAGAGAGTGAAAGCAAAGACACAGCCGCGTCAGCCCACTTGAAGGGGTGGTAGTCCTGGGTACAGCCACGCCCCTCCTTGCCTCTCCACAGCCCACCCTGGAAGCTGGGGGGCACACCGACGGGCAGGGGCACGGAAGAGGGGCGCAGGGTGCGGCACTCACTGTGACAGGGGCTCCGCGTGCAGCCCGGGCGCCGGGCACGCTGGACGAGCAGCCAGGAAGGGGTTCACATCCCCAATGCCAATGAGTCCGAACTCAGCAACCGACAAGGCCACCTGTGCGGGGGCCACAGGCTCCGTGTGGTCTTTGTCCAGACCCACGTGGCTGGAGATAATGGGCAGCTCCTCAGGAAGGGCCCCGGGCAGGGCCAAGTCCACTGCCAGTCGTGGGCGGGCACCAGGCTCCAGGACGCCCGGGGCCGGGGGGTAGAAGGCCTGGTCGCCCAGGGTCGGGGGCTGCTGGGGCAGTGGCCCGGCCGGGGGCTCGTCCAGTGTCTGGAAAGGGCAGGGCCGCGGCTCCGTGATCTGGAGGCCGCCTCCTCCGGGTTCACCAAGGCTGCTGAGACAGCGGGTGGTGGCGTCCACACTCAGCGGTTCTGCGGGAGAAAAGACAACTGAAAGCAAAGCCACAGGCCTGGGGCAGTGGACACAACCAGGCTGGGGGGCACAACCAGCGAGAGGGCAACATCCTCACCTGTGCACAGTCCCCCTAGAGCGTCCTGCTCAGAGCCCAAGCCATTGGCGGTGGAGGGCAGGGGCAGTGAGGGGCGGGGACGGCCTGGGCCGTCAGGGTCACCACCATCCAGGTCCTGGTCCGTGTCCCTGTCAGGGGAGGACACCATGACAGACCGCTGTACAAGGACCATACAGGGGGCCGTGCGGGGGCCGTGCAAGGGCACAGGCAGGGTAGGGTCTATGAAGGGGCGTGGTGCGGGGCAGGGGCAGCGTACGGGGACTGGGCGGGAGCCCTGCAGGGGTGCGGTGTGGGGGAGCTGGGCGGGGCTAATGTAGGGGCGCAGGGCGGGGCCAAGTAAGGACTGTCCAGGGAGGAGTGCGGGGCAGGGAGGAGTGCGGGGCAGGGAGGAGCGCGGGGCAGAGAGGAGCGCGGGGCAGGGGGGCGCGGGGCAAGGGGGCGCGGGGTAGGGGCGAGTAAGTGCTGTGCAGAAAGGGGCGTGGTGCGGCACAGGGATGGGCAGGGGGCTGGGCGGCGCTGCACGCACATGGTTCCGGAAGAGACGTACTTCCTCCGGCCCAGGCGCGTCTGCTGGGTGAAGTAGTCGAAGCGCTCCGACTTCTTCCACAGGTAGTAGTACTCCACGCACTCGCCCACCGACCGCGTGCGCACCTGCAGCGTGCGAGCGCGCGTCACTTGGGCCCAGCCCTCCCACCTCGGGCCCCCTCCTCACTGTCCTTACTCCCTGCCCTGCGCCCGCTCACTTGTTCCCACCTTGTTGGCCTGGATCAGGTGGAAGTTCTTCCCGTGCACACGGAAGCCGTGCTCAAAGTTCCTGCACTCCTCCTCGCTCCAGGCGCACAGCCCGTCTGCAGCGGGGTGGTCGGCAGGGGGGAAGGCAAGGGGCGTCATCAGAGTGGGGGACGGCGTGGGGGACGGTGTGGGGGCCCATGTGTGAAAATCCAGGGGGAAGATGGCGTGGGGAGCTGGCACTGGTGGGGAAGAGTAGGGGGAGCTGCGTGCGGGGGGAGCCAGCATGGGGGGGCCCAGTGTGGGGAGAGTGGGGTGGGGCCTGGTGTGAAGGGAATGGGCACTAGAGGCCCATGGGGGGAAACCAGTGGGGGAACCCTGCGTGGGAGAACCCGTGTGGGGAGGCTTGTAGGGAGGTAACTGGCATGGCGGACAGCATGGGGGAGCCAGGTGGGGGAAGATGGGGTGAGGGGTGGGGCCTACCTCGGATCACCTTCACATTGAAGCACAGCCTCCGCAGGGCCTCCTCGGCATTGAAGCTGCACCGCACCAGCTCGTACAGCGCCTGGGGGTCAGCGGAATCGTCACTGCTCAGTGGCGCTCACCAGCCCCCACCCCAGCAAGGACATTGGGGGTTCACACGCCGTCCTGGGCAGTGATCCACAGGAGTGGGGACACTGGGGGCTCACACACCGTCCTGGGC